GCATTGGCTTGCTTGGCTGCGTTAATGACTTCAGCATCAGTGGCTTCAGGCTTCCCAAAGCGGATGTTGTCCATGATAGATGATCCGAACAAAACTGGCTCCTGCAAAGACACAGGGTGGAAGATAATAGCATTGCAAATTATGGATTTCCAGCCAACCAATAATTACATGCTTCTTATAACCAAACCAATCATTTCAAAAACATGTATTGTTTCTGCACAGCTGGGGGAACTCTAAACCTTATGAAGATGTATTGAGCAAAGATGGATGATTCAATATTCCAAAGCTCTGAACTTAACAAATTAAACCGCTAAAATCGCTATTGCTAACACAAAAAACAGAACAGTTCTCACTCTCCAAATGTTCATTTATTTTTTCTAGTAAAATACATCAAAACACTAAACTGTTGTCTTCCTCTGAAACTGTGAAAACAGTCCATCCCAGGTGACAGCATGTTTGGCTCAACAGTCAGATTGCTGTGCTTGTTTTTCTTCTCCTCTGTGTACATTGGCAGATTGCAAATGTCTCTAAAAGGTGCATACAACCACGTACTGTTTCGGAGTGTGATGCTCCGTGGAGATGCTTGTTAAATCAATGAAAGCAATTTTTCCCTTGAAGATACGCCGATAACTGGACTGCTTCAAATATATAATGTATAATAATAATTGTATTAAACTGAATCAATAATAAAAAGTCAAGCAATATTGATGAACAATCTTTACCTGATTGATAAATCCAATGACTTGTCCCCTGAGCCAGGTCAGATCGAGTGTTCGGATGTCAAGTCCGTCCACCATGACTACACCGCTGGTCGGGTCATAGAAACGCTCCAGCAAAGACGCCACAGTGGACTTTCCTAAAAGTAAGTATTTGGTTAATAATTTCAAGGCTCACATTGTTTGCGTGTCACACTTTCACAATTATTAAATAGGATTTTACCTCCTCCAGATTCTCCAACAATGGCAACAGTTTTACCAGGTGGCAGCGTTAGGCTGAACTTTGACAGGACCTGTTGGCCGGGTCTCGTTGGATAGCTATAAATATACAAATAAAATAAAAGTATAGATAGTATCAGCTGATATTTATGTGAGCTTATTATCTTGAATTGCCTTGAAATCTACTTCCATTAAGATGCGGTTCCAACCTGAATGAAATGTTAATGAAATCTACTCTTCCTGTCAGAGAAGGGTATGGGATGCGTCCTCCTCCAGACAAAGGGATGGTGGGCACCAGAGACAGGTATTCAAAGACTCGGGCCCCAGAGCTTAATCCCCTCACCATCTGTTGCAGATTGACAGCTTGGTTTATCACTGGTTTTGGTTTATCAGATGTTGCATACATAATATAATGATACATTTAAGATAAGAAATGTTCTATACTTGCCAATAACTTTTACTCACCTGTCCAAAAAGGATAGAGATACCAGCCAACGACCTGAGTAGAAAAAGTATACAGCAATCTAACATCTGCTACATTTTAAACGATACATTTTATTTAAAAGATAGATTGGAAAAAAAGAGCAACCATTGTAGAGCAGGATGTATTTTTACCTCTGAACAGTCTGTGAGGCAACCAGGAAAGACATGAGGTCTCCAGGGGACATTTCATTGCTAGAAATTAAAGTCCCTCCGGCAAAAATGGTTCCCAGGACAATGCCTGCAATAACGGCACACAGTACAAAAACATGACTGTAATGGATCTGTTCAACAATGGATTTAACAGTTAACATAGTCAAATATACACTCACAGTTAAGGGCAATGTTTGAAATTCCTTGGAAAACTGCAATTCCAGAACCAAGATCTTCATTCATTTCACATGACTTGTCAACTTCATACGCATATAGCCTGGGGAATAAAGACACGTACATATTATTTCTAACATACATCACATTGTGTCTCTAAAACTACTATGACTGTAAGTATATCAAATAAACTCTCACTTACTGGAGCTCCCGCTCCTCCATCGCAAAAGCTTTCACTGTCCGCACATTGCCAAGGGCCTCATCTGCCACTCCTGTTGCTTTTGCCACCTAGATCAAGCAAAAAGTTATAAGAAACAGTTATTCTAAACTTATTATTTAAATTGCAAAAAAGTATATAAATGTCTTTAGATGGTCCGTTCTGCACGCTTATATGTAGGCTGTTTGACTTTTGGCTGTTCTAATATTTCAGCCTCTAGTGACTTGGCAATGAGACCTAACTGTATACAAGGGACATTATCCAGTCAAAACAAAGACTCTGTGCAAAATTATAATACTACATTCGGCATCACCTGTTCTTGAGCCAAACGGGACAGTTTGCGGAGGAATGAGCCGAAGATAGCCCCCGCTCCCACCAGACAGGGGAGGACGACCACTGTCATACCTGTGAGTTTGGGGGAGATGATATAGAGAGAGACGAAGCATCCAACTGTCTGTGTAACACTCCGAAGACCCTGCAAATATGCAAACATTATTTAGAAGCCTAAACTGTAAAGAATATATATTATTCTACAACATAAAATATAGCACTTTATACCTGAGAAATGACCAACTTGAAGGATGACTTGAACTCCTGAATGTCAGAAGTCAAACGGTTCACCAGCAGCCCGGTTTTATTGGCATCAAAGAAAGCCACATCTTGTCTGAGACAAAAAAACAACACAGGCAAAGTTACAAGGCTTCTCCGGAAGTTAGCGTCATAGAGGGCTATTAGCACAACATGAAAGCATCCTGTCAGGTGCCCATTGACTCTTTTTTTATCCATGTATTATTTTGCTAGGGTATGTACCTCAATAAGGATGCAAAAAGGGTCTTCCTCATGTCTGCTGCCACTCTCTCCCCCACTCTTGAAAGCAGGATGATGTAGCCACTTGTCAGCAGGCCCTGCACAAAGAAGGTAATTAATGGCCAGAGCAACAGTGTATTTACCGATGTGACATTTATGAGTTTTCATGCACATTGTCTTCACAGTGAATGTAAGTTGAACTGATCATGTTAGGGTAGGGTAACAAGCATCAAAGCATCTAACAAAAGATGTACAGTTTCAAAACATTTTGATCTGAAAGCCAAACCAAATGGTTAGGATTATTCAAAACACCAACAGTTTCACTTCATAATGTAATCCAAAACAACAACACACAAAGGACTGGCATAGTTAAGTGTGCAGCTGTTTAGAGCATTGACAGATTTGTTGTGTACTTACTTGGATACCATACAGTCCAAGTAATTTCAGCGCAGGGCCTCTCATCTCTTGGACATAATTCCCAGTCTGTTCTCTCAGATAACGTGCTACAACGTTCACCAGATTCCCAAGCATCAAAGGGATTTGAATATTCAAGATAGCTGCAGCAAAAGCAAGCTGAAAAAAAAAAAAACTGTACTGTAGGTGATCAGTGTAAATGAAAGATCATATATAAAGTTTATGTCACGTCACACTTTATTTTAAAAACACTGACATTGCATTTAAAATAAGTGATTGGAGCGTACCACAACAGCACCCATGAGAGGAAATAGCTGAGGTTTCACAAACTCCCAAAAGATATGCCATTTGAACTCTGGTGCAGGTGTTTTGGTCGTAACTTCCAGAGGAGTGTTGTTATTCACATCTGCCTCGCAGTGAGCCACATGGCAGAACAGCCGTGCAGAGACAGTGAGGACTGCTGGTCCCAGGATGAACCTCAGGGCCACTCCAGGGGGTTTGGACGTTCGGGTGCTGGACTGGCGGATAGCTCTCTGTGTGAGGCCCCAAATACGAGTGACAGTATTTCCAGGCTGCTGTGAGGAGCTGCAGGCTGGGGATCGTAGAGATGTGTACCATCTGGATAACAAAAAATATTATTAACACAATTTGCCATTCAATAACCTGTACTGAAAGTAGTTTAAGACTAATGTAATAAAGTCTATATACTATATTTTAAGGAAATAGCAATTTAAAGAAACTGAATTATATCTGCAACTTGCAATAATCATTTATTAATGTAAAACCCTATGAGTAATCATTAATTCACTATTTGTCTATCCAACAGTGTTATCAAACTAAGAAGAACATGATGATCACAGTGATGAATAATTATTTCCATAAACATTGGCCTGTGAGTATTGTGATTATATCCTCAAATGTTTGTTGAGTTTGTACATGTTTTACTTTGTAAAGATTGAACATAGTGAGTCCCAACTTTTGAGAAGCTGGAGCATGCATTTGTTTGTCATTTCTCTCTTTGGAAAAAGATTGATTGAGCCCAAATATTTACAGAAGTCAATCCCAAAGACGTTAATCCATGTCTGTTTTAACAGTTGAAAAGACAAATGTAACTAATGCATTGAACTTGATTCATATTCTGTACTTGAAAACAAACGTATACAGTCATACATCCCACTGAAGCTTTCTATAAATATATGAACACTTGAGTAAAGCAGCTAAATGAACATGCACTGTCTCTAGAAAATGAAAGTATGCCACGCTCGTCAGTAATGACTAACTAATAAATGTATAGCAGCCACAGGTCAACTGTCAACTACGCGAGTAACGTTACAGGTTATATTACCCTACCGTGAAACTTTCCATAGATCTGCTCCCTTATTGCATCGAGGGTGTAACGACAATGACCGCACCGGAGCAGCGATGCTTGCTCTACAGCAGAGTATCTGAAACATGATTTATGCTTATTTTAGTGATAACAAGCAGAAAAGTTTAAACGATCTTTAAGCTCTACTGTAATCCACAGACACCATGGAGGCTGCCATGTTGACCATGACCCAGAGTGCATTTCTGCAGCTACCGATGACTTCATTCTATGTGAATATTGCGAAATGGCGAACATTTTAATCTTAATTTCACATCAAACAACAAAGTGTAAGATTTAAAGCGAGTTAGACAACATTTTTTAACAGAGACACGACAAAATAGCAGACTTTATACGGGAAAACACGAAAAAACTACAACTCATACCCGGAAATGACGTCCCGAGAAACAGAAGTGACGTCAATAGCGTTTTGTTGACATTTGTTTTGTGAAAGACAAAAACAGTGGACACTCACTGACTGGATGGTGTATTTTTGGAAACCAGCTAACGAAACTCGCAACTGACTGGACAGCACCGTGTTGTGATTTGAACACAGTGTATGAAACGAGCTCTGGGGAAGAGTGGACTGAATTCAAAGAAGATTTCAACACCAGCAGTTAGAAGTCGGGAACAAAACAAACCGATGGACTGCATGAGGGGCTGAATCATTCACAGGCTAGCCAGACAGCAGACAGTGGAGTTAGGTTGTTATCTTAAAACGACTATAAGTAACATTTATATCTGCTGAATATTCGTTTACTTGACCCTTAACTACCACTCAGTATTTCTCTCGTTACCATGGTCGTGTAGTTACACAAGCGTTGACCGCCGGGGTAGCAAATTAGCAAGCTAGTGGCTCGCTGTCGCTAGCTATCGTTGCCATTACTTGAACTGCTTCAGCTGCTAGCAACATAATGTAGCTGAGGTTACAAGACTACATTCGTATCATATTGTGTTTACTATAAGTAGCTTTTGAGTTAGGGGTAAGCTCAAGAATATGAAGAACAATGGCCAACTTTGAAGCTTACCAGGAATATCAGAGAATTGAAGACTTTGAGGAGGACTCGCCACCAGGGGAGGAGCAGGATTTACTGGTGCATGTGCCCGAAGGCCTAAAAGGTAAACATGTTATTACATCTAAAATATTTCTTATCTTTGAACAAATGACTAACTGCTTATTCAGATTAATTGCATAGTTTATTATTCGATCCCCGCACAGCTAACGTTATTCGTCCTGGGATTCACATTTAAATACACACAAAACCAGAGGTGGGAGAAGTACTCGGATCCTGTATCTTATTAAAAGTAAAAGTACCAGAGTGAAGGAATAATCATTACAAGTAAAAGTCCTGCATTCAAAATGTTACTCAAGTAAAAGTACAAAAGTATTAGCATCAAAATAAAGTACCAAAAGTAAAGGGGCTCTTAATGTAGTTTGGGCAATTTTAGAATAATATTCATTGTTTTGATTATAATTATTAATGCATTAGAGTGTTATCAAAGCTGGTAAAGGTGCAGCTAGGTTTAATTGTATACCGCATGGTAGCTAGTTAATGTTACCCCAGGTATAACAAAGCCTTATTTAAGTGTTGGTTATATTTCACATCATTAATAGAGCAAACGTACAGGATTTATCCCTGACTTGTAGTGGAGTAGAAGTACAAAGTATCAAAACTCTTACTTGACACCACTGTACAAAATACATTACAGTCTACAAAAATCAACCCATTTAAAAACCCATTTTGAACAGTGTAGTAACACATGACAAGCATCAGACATATTAGATAACAACATTAATATACTTAAAACCTTACACTGATGTCTCTCTCAATATATTTACCAACAATAGCATAGCATCCTACATATGAAGTCCCAAGCTGTGAGCTTATTTGCTTTTTAAACACTTTTTTTGTGAATATTTAGTCAATAAGAAATAACATTTCATTGTCCTATTATATACTTCTGTTGATTTTTAGAAAAAAAGCCTTCTGTTGCCTCTCTGGTAGAAATGTATATAATTTTAAATGGTGACATTCTTGTAATACATTTGTATTACAAAACAAATACAAATGCAACTTCTGGGTGAAACTGCTAATGCTTTCATTTATGTTACAGACTCATGGCACCATATCAAGAACCTGGATAACTTCTTCAAAAGGATATCCTTTTTAATGACAGTTCTGTTTAATATATGGTTTTCCAAAGGGCTCTGTCATTGCATGTGTCACTGGCATTGCATCATGCTGACACATGTTTACTTCTTGACTTGGGAGTGTATCTATGTTGCCTGGGTCCTATGTTCCCCAGTTTAATATTCTCCTAATACATTTATCAAACCTACATCTTAAACTTGGCGTCCAAGATGCTTTCTTTTATGTTATTAGCTCATGTTACTTCACATTTTTCTTAACCTTCCCTTCCACATCTATCATTTCCATCAGAAGAATGGCTTCGCTTGTATGATGTTGTCAGAGTTCTTTGAACTTATGTAAGTATCAAGTAGTACAAAATGCTGAGAGTTCATCATGAGATACTGTGTTCAATTTGAAGCATTAGTTTGGGTTTTCAGTTTCAGTTCGACTTAGTCCCTGTTTATGTGAGTGGTAATGATTGATGTTGTGCCTCAGGCTTCAGCATGAACAAGTTCAGCCGGATGATTTCCACAGCAGCTGTACTTAGAAGCTCATGTTAAATACATTCTTCACACCAAACAAAAACATCTTATTATTACATCTTGGTGATTGCTTTATTCACTATTAACTTTACTACTTTTACGCACTCGACTCTTATTTAAACTGCTTGAGTTTGTAGCTGAGGTCACAAGAGTGTAATAATAAATATACAGGGTTTACTTTAAGTAACTCGTTGGTTTGTGAAATCTTTTCTCATAACCAAAACAAAGCCTGTAAACATATTAAATAACGGAACTGCAAATGATCGGTCTTATCTGCACTCCTACATTTATCACTTCTCAGTACTTAGTTACAATAGTCAGTAATGGCTCATAAAATGAATCTCTTTTGCCAAGGTTATTACTTTTGCCAAGGTTGTTACTTTTGGGTTGCTTGTTTGTTTGTTTGTTTGTTCTACAGTCATTAGGTACGATTCCTAATCTCTTTTTCCCGTTTCATCTCTTCCTAACAGTCAGTTTTTGTTTGTTGTCATATTCACGACGTTTCTTGTCAACTGTGTGGAGTATGACGTCCTGTTTGCCAATCGAGCGGTCAACCACACCGGGCAGGGCCAGAACCCCTTGGACAGGAACAAGGTCACTCTTCCTGACGCCATCCTCCCCAGTGAGCAGTGCACTGAAAGGTAATCATGTTTAACACTGTGTTTTGCAGTGCTTTATAATTAGTTTAAAGTGTATTTCTTCCTTTGGGGGCGAAATGAGTTAGAAGTCAAGGTGAATTAACTAAAAGACTAAACAGTCACATTAAAGGATGTGGCAGTTCTCTCATTCGAGCCAGCTTGATTAGCTGCTTTGTTCTCCAGCAGACATGGGTTTGGATATTATCAGAGCCCTTTTAGAGACAGGCCTTTAGAGGGATTACATTTGTCTGGCTTAATTCAGTAAGGATCAGACTTCTAATCTTAATTTTTGTTGGAGTAGTTCAGATGTGGCTTCTGCAATGTACAGTTACATCCATAAGACAGGACCCTTTTAAACCGTTCCCCTTGGATTTATTTTTTAACCCCCAAAAATCACGAGAACTCTTTTTTTATTGAGAAATGGGAGGAAATGCCTCTTTAAGTGTAGACACTCTAAGCAATGATCTTAGGAGAAACAGTGTTTTTACGTTTCTACTACTCAGTTATAAGTTGAGTAATTTTATCTTACACTGTTTCCTCCAAAAAGTAATCTATCGAAAACTATTTTTTAATGTGAACAAACTGTTTGTTATATTGTGTGTTATGTAAAGACATCTGAAAACATATTGAAGTTATTCATTCATGTTGAAAAAAGCTCTTAATGCCGGTGGTAATAGCAGATTACAATAAAGCATTACATATTAGGTTGTTCTTAAACGGTCTATAAAAAGCACCAAGTTTGACAAAATTACGTTTGGTATTTGATTTGTGACTTCGCTTTCTATGAAATGTTTTTCTTTCTAAGTGTCGTTGTTTATTTGAACCTGAGATTGCTAGCTTCGAGTTACAACACTCCTGCCCTGACAGTTACAGTGGGGCAAAAAAGTATTTAGTCAGCCACCAATTGTGCAAGTTCTCCCACTTAAAAAGATGAGAGAGGCCTGTAATTTTCATCCTAGGTATACCTCAACTATGAGAGACAAAATGAGAGAAAAAAAATCCAGAAAATCACATTGTCTGATTTTTAAAGAATTTATTTGCAAATTCTGGTGGAAAATAAGTATTTGTTCAATAACAAACAAACAAGATTTCTGGCTCTCACAGACCTGTAACTTCTTCTTTAAGAGCCTCCTCTGTCCTCCACTTGTTAACTGTATTAATGGAACCTGTTTGAACTCGTTATCAGTATAAAAGACACCTGTCCACAACCTCAAACAGTCACACTCCAAACTCCACTAGGGCCAAGACCAAAGAGCTGTCAAAGGACACCAGAAACAAAATTGTAGACCTGCACCAGGCTGGGAAGACTGAATCTGCAATAGGTAAGCAGCTTGGTGTGAAGAAATCAACTGTGGGAGCAAGTATTAGAAAATGGAAGACATACAAGACCACTGATGATCTCCCTCGATCTGGGGCTCCACGCAAGATCTCAACCCGTGGGGTCAAAATGATCACAAGAACAGTGAGCAAAAATCCCAGAACCACACGGGGGGACCTAGTCAATGACCTGCAGAGAGCTGGGACCAAAGTAACAAAGGCTACCATCAGTAACACACTACGCCGCCAGGGACTCAAATCCTGCAGTGCCAGACGTGTCCCCCTGCTTAAGCCAGTACATGTCCAGGCCCGTCTGAAGTTTGCTAGAGAGCATTTAGATGATCCAGAAGAGGATTGGGAGAATGTCATATGGTCAGATGAAACCAAAATA